TCTGCCCCAAACATTGAGAGCACCCCCCATCTCCTGGATGGAACCAAAGTCTTCTTTAAATGACATTCTTTGAGTTTATTTACTAATGTTTTACTTTTTGGCATTATATACTGCAAGGTCTTTCCTCTTGGAAGATGAAAACTTAGTTGCTTTCTTCTCTCTCTCTCTCTCTCTCTCTCTCTCTCTCTCTCTCTCTTTCTTTCTCTCTCTCTCTCTCTCTCCCCCTCCATCCTGTCTCTCCAGTATTCTTCTAAAGACCAATATTTAGTATAGGCTTATTGTATCTGCTTAATGCCATTCACATTTGAGACAACTATCTGAGATTTCTTTACATTTGAATCTCTGCAGTATATTATAGACAGATAACCTTCCTTCGGTGAGCTACAGAGGTGGTGTGGGATGGTCCTGTTCATTTGATACTTGCAATGACATAAATAGAGTAGAAAAGGCCAAATACTTCTCTACATCCCTTCACAACTTCTCCAGGTTTCCTTGCTGCTGTGCTGCCCTCTGATGGCCACATTACAAAATTTTTCCAACCCATGGTCAAGCCTAGGGGCAGAACTGTGAAAAGTCCTGTGAAAGTTCTGGGCTTTGTTCAAATTAAGAATTTCAGTATGACAAAAGTAATCTATTAAACCTACCATAGGCCCTTCAAGTGGCTGCCCATGAAGCCAGCCCTCCCTATCAGGGAAAATGGATGTGTTTGTTCTCCAAGTTAATTTAATGCCAAACTCAAGTCATAAAAATGGTGAGAACCAGAGGCTTTCCTGCTAAAGATAAACAAAACTGAAAGGTTCTGAATGCCTTAAGAAGACACGTGTACTCCAAAGGGTGGAAGTGATGCCTGCTAATGTTGATGCTCTAAGATAATAATATTAGCGAGGACAGTGACACCAGAGATAAGATCAACTTTTATGATCAGCAGTTTAAGCAAAGCATGAGCCATAGGGAATCCACATCAGTGACCAGTCAGGGATCTGCCACATCTATGGCTCCACTAGTCTGGGCCATGCTGGATGTATTCTCCAGAGAAAAGGACAAGTTGCTAATGGATGTTAGAAGAATGAAAGGTGCTTTGTGAAACCTCTGGTGAGACCTAATAAAATAATTACATGCAGACTCCTAGGGTTTAGTGCAAGGCCATATTTTCTATAGCAATAAAACAACAGCTACCCACAGGCTTCTAGGCCTAAGGAGAGCTGGAGAGTCTAAATGTGGGGTGTAATGTGACCAGGTAGACATAGTTGCTCATCAGAACCTTGGTTCTACGACACCCACCAACCTAAGTTCAAGTGAGGAGAGAAGCATCTATCACAGATGGAAGTGACATATCCTGGATTAGACAAGGACAGGTGGCCACCATGGGTACCTACCACTCCATCCCTGTTACCTACCACAGAGCTCTTACCTGTGGAATCACAGAAAGTTACTCTGACTAGTCAACAAAGAAGGAAAATGCTCCACACACTTCAAGTTCATGCCAGCCCTCAATTCATTCTCTCCAACACACACATACCATCAGTGATTGACTTACTGACACACAAATCCCCTGGGACATGGCTAACATATTTCCTCAGCTGAGGCACGTCTTGTATAGTGGTGGAATTGGCCATTCATGGCTCTCCCATGCCATGGGGAAACTGCTTTGAGAGGCAAATGCACACATCTCTACTAGGTTGGGGCTGGAGGGTGACTCTCAATTTGGTCCTCACCCTCAAGCCTGTCCTGCATTTTCCACTTTCCCCAGGCTCCATGCCAACTCCTGTTATAGTCTGACTACCCTGGACTTCAACTAATTTTCTGGCTCAAATAACAAATTTTTAGGCTCATATTCTACATTCTTGGTGTCCCCATCCCTCCTCACTTTTTAGACTCCTAACTCCCTACAAGATGCTCATCTGCTTTTCCCTCTTAATTCTTATTTTATGTCTATTTTGTAACTTTAAAAAAATATATTTTATTGATTTTTCACAGAGAGGAAGGAAAAGGGATAGAGTCAGAAACATCGATGAGAGAGAATCATCGACCAGCTGCCTCCTGTATACCCTCCCCCCCACACACACTGGGGATGTGCCCGCAACCAATGTACATGCCCTTGACCAGAATCGAACCTGGGACCTTTCAGTCTGCAGACTGACGCTCTATCCACTGAGCCAAACCAGTTTCAGCTATTCTGTAACTCTTGAAAGCCAGTATAGCTGGTGCTCCCTCTTGTCCCAGTGTCAGGACACTAATATGAATCTTCAAGAACCTTATCCTTTCCCCCAACCCTGTGTCTCACTCCTCTCACCTATCCAAGTTTGGGAGAATGGCACTCCCATTTGGGAGAATGGAGAAGCCCTATTGGATTCTCCCTCAACAGGTAGAAGATAGCCCCTCACTCATCCCCATCTCTCATCCCCCATCCAGAACCCTCCCCAAAAGAGCCCACCTGCAGGGCACCTTTAGGTTCCCTTTACCTCATATAATGCCTAACATCTCCAAATCCCCTCCCCATCCCAGGCTTTACAATTTATCATCCTGGCGCTGAACAGATCCTATCACTCAACAGCTCCCCTCTATGCCCACTTCTGCTTATCCACCTCTGGCTAGGTGTCAAAGGAGTATAGCTTAATACCCCAGAGGCCACAAAGAACATGAAATATTTATTTTCATTTCTCACGTTCTCAATGTGGATCTTTAGGAACAGGTACCTGGTGATTGTAACAATAAAGAAGAAAACAGGTATGAGGACTCTGGTCTGGCCTGAGCTCCAGGTCATGAAGGACACAAAACAGCATCTTTTAGTGACAGCTGTGGGTGGCTGACATGTCAGGGACCAGCATGCTTACTAGATTTTCTAAGGTTTAAGACAGAATATTTGTTAAAATCTCTGTGATCTTGTTCCTTGAAGGTGGAGTGAAAATGAATGTGAACACTGTTGATGGTTTGGTCCCTGTGGACGTGTACACTTTCATGTCTTCTCAGATTCTGGTGCAAAGGCAGTCTTGAGGCAACCTGGAGCCTCAAAAATATCTAAGAAGTCACATCAGATGCTGCTGTGGATGCCAAATCAGAAAGGAGGCAGGAAAATTGGAGATCTTTATTTGGAGAATTTTAGCCTGATAAGGAAAGAAATTGGAAGATTTGAAAATAAGGCAACGATCAACACTGTGAGCAAAATGACAGAATCAGCTAGTTACAGGTAGATGATGACAAAGTAAAACATGTGTCCAATAAATTTAAAGAGGCAAGAAAGACATTATTCAGAACCATGCAATAGGGCAGTGAGATGACAACACCTCTGGGATGATTAAAAAAAAAAAAGAAATTATAGCCATCAGAGTTTGTTAATTGGCTTTATAGAAAGAAAATGTAAAACATTTCCTAAAATCCTGTTGTGAAGGTTCCCCTCCCAAGATAGGCTCCTACTCTCCCTCAGAAACTGGGACACAGCGACACCAGGAGGATTAAATTTCAAAAGGATGGAGCCAGGTCTTTGAGGCAGATATTCTCTGGGTCATAACACTGGCAGAAAGTTTTTGAGGAGACTGTCTATATTTCAAAAGTGCAGAGAGCTGAAGCCAGTTTGGCTCCAGTGGTAGAGTGTCGGTCTGCGGACTGAAAGGTCCCAGATTTGATTCCTGTCAAGGGCATGTACATTGATTGTGGGCACATCCCCAGTAGGGGGTGTGCAAGAGGCAGCTGGTCGATGTTTCTCTCTCATCGATGTTTCTAGCTCTCTATCTCTCTCCCTTCCTCTCTGTAAAAAATCAATAAAATATATATTTTTAAAAAGTGCAGAGAAAGACTCTGCAATTGCTAATTACATTTATAAAATAAATGGTCTAAGGATGGGAGACAAAGGCATGTTGTCAAGAAAAACCTTTTTAAAGGTTGGTGACTCTGAGGAAACATTAAAGCCTCTAGTTCAGAACAAAACTGCTTTCTGCACAGTGGAGGGAACACAACTAAATCTCTTTTAGCCAAGATCCAGCCTACCTCTTTATCATTTCCGGAAATTTATAAAGAGGTGCAATTTCCCAGCCATTTATAAACAGATTCAAAAGAGCTGAGAGTTCCTGAACACAGCCAGGATCTTATCTCCCAGAAAGTTGTGCTTCTGGAGTTCTCCATGAAGACATTACATTGCTCTCTACAATCACTTTCCTTTTGACCATAGGTCATCTCTAAGGAAGAAGAGTATTCTCAATCCTACAACATGGCTGGTGTTGCTGGATTTGGCCTGATTAGTGACCTTAAGTGCAGAGGAACTGACATTCACCACAAACACCTGATGCAGGTGTTTCTATGAAACTGAAGCTGGACTTTTAACAGTCTCTTGAGGTTAGAAAGCCTCACCCTCTAGCTTTGGGTAATGACCTCATCTCCAAGAGATTCCAAACTTAGCTTCATAAAAGGTGAGGTCATTTCTAATCCTGTGGGCATCAGTCTGAACTAGGACATTTGAACCAAAGTCTTAATTTATTATGAAGGTTTCCAATTATACCATATTAACAAGGAAGATAGAATCCTATTGAGTTTATGCAAATAAGACACACAAATAAGAATACTCAAAAAGACTTAAGAAATTTTTTGAAATGTATCAAACAGGGAGAAAAAAGATCAATGTTGTTATCCACATTGGTGTCCTCCTGTCCATCTCCCATTGCCAACAACAGTGGCTGGGCATCTACTACATGTCCCGCTGGAGAGGGGACAGAACTTGTATCTATGCAAACTCATCATGTGCACCCACGGTAATCACACAACCACTGCCATTCTCTTGAAAGACTCAGTTTCACCTCTACTGTGGAGATGGTACAACTTAGGTCACAAGGAGGTGGGATCTGGTACAGAATATCATCTTAAGTCAACAATAATGACAATGTCAGCTTTTTTTGGGAGCATTTATTGACTCAATGCAAAGGACTTTCCACCCTCACAATATATCTATTATACTTAAGGATTCAAAAAATTTATTCAGTTTAATAACATAGAGAAAGGGAGGAAGCTCACTAAAATTTTACATCCAGCTCAACTGGTTCACTTTCAACAGAACTGATGGGGTTGGACACTTCACACTGGTAATTCCCAGCATCCTCCCTCCTGACAGGGTCTATGGTGAGAGTTCTGTTTTCCCAGGACAGCTTCATCCTCTCTGTCAGCCGCAGATTCATGCCGTTGAGGAACCACTGGGTGGAGACTGCATCTGTGTAGCAGGTCATGACTACAGCATCCTTATTCTCCATGACTGTTGTGTTGCTGGCTAGGAGTGTGGGCACTCTCACTGGCTCTGTGGAGAAACAGAAGGCATGGCTAATAGAGAGTGAGCTTGGGACCTGGACCATGCTGCCTTCTCTGACATCTTAGCCACTGAGAGGCTACTGTGAGCTCTGTAAGGTCACCAGAAGATGGTTCTGAACTCTGCTGGAGGACAATTGTCTTTATTCAGGTAGAAATGTGTAGAGAGAGGGCTGCACCACCTCTTTGAACCCAACTCACTTCTGACCTGTTCCCATAGATAGTATCAACACAGGTAACCTCTTTGCAGCCTACATGCCCTATAACCTCACCATAAGGTGGAATTTTCCTCTCATGAGCTTTTATTAATCCTTTCCTAGGAGTTTCTTTGTTTTGTTTTATTTTGTTTTTTTACTTAAAAATTTTGTGTATGTTAAGAAAGGCAATCTGATGGAATTGGAGAACATCATGCTGAGTGAAACAAGCCAGTCAATGAAAGAAAGATACCACATGACCTCACTTATTTATGGATGATAAAGAACATTATAAATTGAAGAACCAAAAGATAGATATAGAGACAGTAAAGCAACAAGCAGACTGTCAAATTACAGCGAGGAGGTTGGGGAGATCTGGGGGAGATAAGAGATCAACCAAAGGACTTGTATACATACATATAAGTACAACCAATGGACACAAAACTCTGGGGAGGGAGGGTATGTATGGGAAGAGGGGGGCAGTGGTATATGTACAAAAATAATAATTTAATAAAAAATATATTATAAAAAAAAGAAAAAAAGGAAAAAAGAAAGACAATCTTACCACTTATGTCCACTACTGAGGCCAAGGGCAACTTTACAGAAAGTAAAAGGGCATTTAACTGTTGTTAAATAACTCATTAGGCATACAGATGCCCCAACTCAGTCTTCATGACCTTGGACCTGGAGAAGTTCCATCTATAGGATTTCTCAGTCTGAACAGGACTTTATTTCCAGGCCTGCTGATTGCATATAATAGTGAAATAAATCACTAAAGAGAAGTGGTTATGACTTTAACAGAAGACAGGAACTATAGGAATAGGAGGAAATTACTTAATATGGTAAAGACCACTCATGAAAGTCCACAGCTAACACATTACTACACAGAGAATCTCTGAAAACAGTACTAAGATCATGAATAAGATGAGGATGCCATTTCCCCCTAATTCAACTAGTCAGAAAAATCAGGCACAAAGATGAGATAAGAGATATCCAATTTAAAGAGGAATAAAAATAGCTTTTTAAGAAGACAACATAACCTTACTGTAGAACACCCTTAAGATTTCACCATGTACATACCTAAAACAACTATTAGAATTAATAAAAAAAGATAAGTTGCCTGAGACAAAATCAACATCTAGCATCATTTTCATTTTTTAAACAAAAATTAACAATACTTAAATAAAATAAAGAAAACAATTCCATTTACAATAGCATCAAAAAGACTAGAATACTTAGGATTAAACATAATAAGGTGGAAGTCATGAATACTCTGAAAACTAACAAAACATTTCTGAAAGTAAAGAAGAAACAAATACCTGGAAAGACATCCATGTTCATTGATTCCAAGACCATCGACTATTTACATATTTGTAACAATTCCTATCAAAATCCCAATTATTTTTTTCAGAAATAAAAAGAAATCCATCTCAGAATTTATGTGAAATTTCAATGGATCCCAAATGTTTGGAACAAACTTAAAAAGGATGAATTAAAATTGGAGGTCTCACAGTTACTAATTTCAAATCTTACTACAAAGGGAAAGTAACCAAAATAGTGTGACACTGGCATAAAGACTTCTTTTTATCAAAAGATGCAATCAAATGGTTTTGATAAAAGGAGCCAAGACTGTTCAATGGAGAAAGGACAATCTTTTCAACAAATGCTGTTGAATAGCAATGTCTACATGCAAAGAAATAAAGGGGATCATTGTTTTTACCATACACAATAATTCAGTCAAAATGGATTGAGTCCTAAAGGTAAGAACTGAAATTACAAAACTCTTAGAAGAAAACAGGGGCAAGCAGTATAATATCGGATTTGGCAATGATTTCTTGAATATGACACTAGAAACTCAGACCAGAAAAGATTAGATAATTTAGATTTTTGTCAAAATGGAAAACTTCTGTTCATCCAAGGACACAATCAACAGAGTGAAACGTGATTTGTGGAATGGTATAAAATACATACTTTGCAAATCATTAATAGAATGAGGAATTAATATCTGGAATATATAAAGATCTCTTACAACACCAAATAACCTGATTTTAAAATGGGCAAACCTCTTGAATACGCATTTCTCCAGAGAAGATATACAAATGGCCAATAAGCCCAGAAAAAGATGCTAAACATCACTACCATTAGAAAAAATATAAATCAAAACTCTCAGAGTTGATGTTTGTGATATTGGGTGTGGGTAACTCCATTGAGCAGGTAACAGGAGAACACTGCCCTGTGTGGGACACTTGAGTCCTCCAAGGGTTCTTCAATCAGACTTGGCACCTCTCACCTTTCAGCCAACTTAAAAGAATAAGGCAGGTCTATGTATCACAAGACAAATGCCTGGGGATCTGAGACCTCAGAGAACTTAAATCCTCTATGTCTGTGAGAAAGCACAACCTTATTCAGGAAACAAGACTGTTCAGTGAAGACAGGACAGCCTTTTCAACAAATGGTGTTGAACAGCAATATCCACATGCAAACAATAGATTAGCAGGATTTGGTTGTGGAACAACAGAGAAACTAGAGTTAGAGACCCTCCTCCCCCAATCCTCTCACACCTCTCCTACTTCTTCACTGACCAGCTGATTTGATTTTTTTCTAGCTGCACAGACCATCGTTGCCCAGCTGAGGTGTGTTTTGAAGAGGGACCATTTCCCAGGACATCTTAGAGACTCAGACTGGAGCAGAAATAAAACATGGGTACTGCCCAGGATCAAGCCTGTGGTCAGTTGACTATGCAGACCCCAGGGCCAAGAGCTGAGTCAGTCCTTTCCAGGTGAGTGTGACTGATATGATCCAATGAGCTAATAAATGATAGAGCAGAGGACAAGGAATGAGCTAGAAAAGAGTGAAGGGACAAACAGGAGCTGACTGTGGCAGCAGAGCCATATGCTTTGCCCTTGGTCATTACAGTCAACCTCCCTGTACTTAGGTCAGGGGAAGCTTGTGCAGATGCAAAAGGGGTGATTGACAGCAAGACAGGAGCACAGATTGCTGACATTCTGGCCCTTGTAGACTGTTTGTGTTTGGTGGTTCTGAGATAGAAATTTGGAAATACCTTAAAATTTCCCCATATGCAAAAAATTACTCTTAATACCTCAGGGTCTAAGAGCAATAGCAGGAAGGACTACTTCTCTAGAGAACAGCAAAGAGTCTGAGACATGGGTCTCAACCCCTGGAGTGACAAGGAGCCTTTACCATGTGGCCAGAGTTTCAAAGACTCTAACCAGGTTTCAGCATCTGAAGAGGTTTTAGATCATTCTTCCCTTCAGAAACCAATTATTTCTTCCTAATTCATAAAAAAGTGTGTTACATCTTGATCTCTTATCTGGTTACAAATGTAAAGTGGGGAGTGAGTAGGCAAAGTCCTTTCCTTTATATCCAGTGGAAGTGACTCCAACACATCAGGAAACAAATCAGTGGCTTCAACTCCAGTAAAGGAGGGGTGGACCAGCCACCTGAAGGGAAGGTTTGGGTGTTCCCAACACTGACTCATGATTACTGCAGGTAATTTGGTTCTAGAATAACACCATTTGGTGTTATTTCCCAGGCCACGATCTCTCTCTGAACTGGGGATGCCTAAGGGAAGATCTAAACCAATGTTTCTTTAGGGATCCCTCTGGGATGGAAGAGAGGATGGGATTATGGATACAGACAGACCTTGAGTGACTCCCTTGGTTTGGGTAGCTCTGCTTTTATTTCCCTGTGCCTCAGTTTCCCCTCAATGAAGTATGATGAACATTTGACTGCCAGGGTGTCAGTGTATTCACAATAAAATATTTACAGTATCTAACTAAACATTGGGACAGTGGAGCTGACATCTGTTATTGATCAACTCCAAGAGAGAATCTCCTGGGCTGATCCCTGGTGGACTAGAAGCTGCCAGGAGCATCTTTTCTCCTTTTGTTCCCTGTGATTCTGACCTTTCTCTGGACTCTCCTACATTTTTCAGTGTAGTTCCCAAATGGCCTGGCGACCTTGTCCATCTGTGTTATCCACACACAGTTTCAAGTGAAGGACCATCCCTATTCAGTTGTGGCTCATGTGGCTGAGCTCTGGCTGGTGAGCAGCTCAAAAGCCTTGTGACTCAAACACCCAGAAACCATTGTGCCCACTCAGCCCTTCCCAGGAGGTTAACCCTGACACAGGATCCCCAGGGTCCCTGGAATCAGGAGCCCTGGGGCAGAGGGTCCAGAAGGGGCTGCCAAAGCTGAGTTTCTTTATGAGGATTGCAGGGGGCTCCTCAGGATGGGCCCTGGCCCAGCCCTGCAGGGTCTTTCTCAGGATCATGTCATGGGGAGGGACCCAGGGACCTGGACTAAGACTGGTCTCCCTCGGCTGAGCCACTCCCATCAGACTGGCCATTCTCTCTGTGGAGAATGTCTGCATGGCTGGAATCCATAAAGGGAACTCTGACCTTAGAAAGTTTGTCTCCACTGGGTGAGTCCTGCACTAAATGCACAAACCCAACTTAGAATGTGATGCAGAGGGGGATGGAGGAGAGTCCAGTGCTGTCGGTTCTGTGTGTGAAGTGAAGTCCACCCACCCAACACCCAGATGTCAGAGAGCAATCACTCACGGTATACATCGAGCCGTCCAAATCCAATTTCCTTTTTGGTGTAAGGAAGGTAGACTACTATGGTATAGATTCCTGTGTCCTTCAGGGTAACATTCTTTAACTGCAAGGATCCATCCAGGTTTATTTGTTCTCGACCGGTGTGTGCAGGCCCTGTTGTATGAACTCTTATGTGCGTTCCAAGAATTGCAATATTACGATTGGGGTTTGCCCCTTCCCCCCTGTACCACATGAAGCCTGCAGCATTAGGAGGCATATTGCGGGTGTGTAGAATCACATCCTTCCCTTCGGCAGAATTGGTTGATACAATAGCGAGCTGGGCAGTGGTGGGCAGGCTCCAGAAATTTAGGAGTGAAACTAGGAGGGAAGAGAGAAATTGAACAATATTGGGAGCTCTGCATAGGGATGGAAAGATGATGCCCTTGGATTTGAAACAGGTCTCTTCATCTCTCAGCCTTCATGTGTGTTTGTGTGTGAGTATATGTGTGTGTCCTGGTGGTCAAGGTCAACAGCATGACCACCAATACTTACTTCAGTACCTGCGAACCTGTTACTTTTTCTGTTTTGCAGTCTCTTTTCCAGGTGTCTGTCAGGTTCACACACTCACTGCCCTCAGACACTTAGGGGTGTCCATGGGAGGCACCTTCATGGAACACTTCCCTAAAGACTCTCTATGAATCACTTTCTGATCTCTCCTCTGTTCTTTTTATAATGCTGTGGGTACCTGACATCATATGTAGATATTTTTTTTTATCTCTCTCCACCCATAGAACGTGAGCTCCATGGGACTGGGGCTTGTCAGATATTGCATCGCCAGTACCTACAACAGGCTGCAAGTACCTGTGGGTGAATGAATGTTCCCAGAGTCTTGCACTGCCTGGCATGTATTTCTCCTGAGGCTGGTGGTAAGGACAGTGTTTAGAACCCCTGGTTAAGTTTTTTTTCTGGTGCCTCCTGACATAAGTTGTTATTATTATGGTCAGTTTTCAAAATTCAATACTCAGTGATGAATAACTTAGGAAGTAAGAGCAATTGAAGTTTCCCTGCCCCACTCCACTTCCAGATCATGTTATTTCCCTGATACTTATTATCCATCTCCCTTCCCCATCCTATTCTGCTCTCCTATCCTTTCCCCTCAGATCCACACAAAATAATCTCCTCCATAGGAGACCCCAGAAAGTCCCCATCTTCCCTCCTTCAGTTCACTCCCAGGGATTGTTCCTTCCTTACCAGCCAGCAGGAGCCCCTTCCAGGGGACAGGTCCCTTGCGGATAGGGGCTGAGAGTGACTTCATGGAGTCTGTTGCCTGCACTGTCTCTTCCTCTGCAAGAAGAGCTTGGATTCCAGGAAAGCTCAAAGGCACCGCTGTACAAACTGATGGGATCTGCTGTTCCTCTTCACTGTGCACTGGGACTCCTGGTGCAATATCACTCACCTGGTCACATGGATCAGGGTGGAGTTTGTGCCAAGGACCCACCTCCTCCTCCCTTCATTTTTGCCACCCTTTCCCCCTCCTTCCAGTTTACTATCCCTCTATATTTTGGTTCCCTTGGAGCTGCTGAGGTATCTAAATACACACACACTCACATGCTCTGTTTGGAAAATCACCAGCCTAGGGAACCCAGGTTCCCCATGGCTCCCTGTCAGGTGCACAAGTAGTCTCCCTCACAGCCCTCTCTTTCACATTTGACTTTTCCCTTCAGAGCAGGAGCTCTGGGGCCACCTCAGGAACTCTTGTCACGGGAATGTCACTACCACTGTGCATCAGATCTCCTGTGAAACTTTGTATAGATTGCGAGGCCCAAGTGATATGTTAGATGCTGATTCAGAATGCGACCAGAATGCGACCTGGTGATGTGCTGATGGGGCAGCTTCTCCCCTTCTTCTGTGCACGGGGGGGGGGGGGTCTCCAGATCCTATTAAAATGCAGATTCTGCCAAGAGATGCAAATCAAAACAACAATGCGGTACCATCTCACACGTCAGAATGGCCAACATCAACAAATCAACAAACGACAAGTGTTGGCGAGGTTGCGAAGAAAAAGGAACCCTCGTGCACTGCTGGTAGGAATGCAGACTGGTGCAACCACTGTGGAGAACAGTGTGGAGTTTCCTCAAAAAACTGAGAATGGAACTCCCATTTGACCCAGTAATCCCACTTCTAGGAATATATCCCAAGAAACTAGAAACACCAATCAGAAAGGATATATGCACCCCTATGTTCATAGCAGCACAATCTACAATAGCCAGAATCTGGAAACAGCCTAGGTGCCCGTCAGCTGATGATTGGATCCAAAAACTTTGGTACATCTACACAATGGAATACTATGCTGCCATAAAAAAGAAGGAATTCTCACCATTTGCAGCAACCTGGATGGAATTGGAGAACATCATGCTGAGTGAAATAAGCCAATCAATGGAAGAGAAACACCACATGACCCCACTCATTTGTGGATAATAAAGATCATTATAAACTGATGAACCAAAAGATAGATATAGAGACAGTAAAGCAACAAGCAGATTGTCAAATTACAACGGGGAGGGGAGGAGGGTCTGGGGGAGATAATAAATCAACCCAAGGACTTGTATACATGCATATAAGTACAACCAATGGACATAAAACTCTGGGGAGGGAGGGGATATGTAGGAGGGAAGGAGGGGGGCAAAAAAAATCAATAAAATATGTAAAATAAAAAAAATAAATATGTAAAGAGGAAAAAAAAATAAAATGCAGATTCTGACTCAGCAGGTGTGCAGTGGGTCTTACTGGCCTGGGGAGCTCACTTGCAACAGCAAGGCTGATGGGGGTATTTGTCCCCTGAGAGGATTGGCCTTGCTATGTCTTGGTCTTTGATCTGCCAGCACCCCACAGAGAGCCCCACAGGCCCCAAACCTGGGGATTATTTCTATTTATGACACAGACACTCAGCTGGGCATCAGGTCTTCCCCATGTTCTCAAAAGCACTGGGAAGGTTGGATTTCCTCCCAGCAGGAAGGCCACAGAGATGACTCAGGGGGGTGAAAAGGGTCAAGCTGGGTGGTGATGGCTGAGGGGTCCCTCCCTGTATCTCAGGTTGTCACCATCCTGGCCTTTGCTTCCAGGGACAGAGACTCAGGAAGAGTCCCAGGACCAGGAGTCTCAGAAGGACCTGCAGTTCCTGTGTGTAAAGTGGAAGGTGTCCTGTGTGCCCTAGGGAGAGAGGGCTATGGTGGGAGGCCAGGTTGCTGTGAGCTTCCTGGTCTTCAGGGGATAGTTTCTGTGAGACCCTCTGTCTCTGTTGGCTGAGCCTGTCCTTGTGCTCCCTGACATTTGGGGCAGTGTCTGTCTTCTACCTGGGGGAGTTTCCTCTCATTACCCCACCTTGTTCATGGGTGGTGGCAGGCATGGCGTGGGGAGCAGCAAATAGAGCCCTGAGAAAGCAGGTATTCTTAGGCTCTGATAAAGTAAGAAACTTCCCAACCTGTGAAGATTTTTATGAGTTTATTTGAACCAAGCTAACATCATATGCCTGGAACAAGATCTCAAATCCTGAGAATGGCAGTTGTACAGCTTGTTTACACATTATAATAAAAAAAGATGGAAAAAGTTGTGTGAAATACATTAGGAGGTGAAGAAATCTCTATAATTTATGAAAGGCAAAATGGAGAAACACATTTTTTTTTCCTTTGGTGGTTCCAGGATAATTAACATTTATAGCACATAGAGAGTTTATGCAAGGAACCAGGTAACATAAGAAGTATGTTGACTTATATGCTGGTCCTAGAGTCTGTGCCTTCAAATCATTTTTCAAAAAAAACAACTACTCTGATATGTCAAAGGTATGTTATCCCAGATGCATAAGAACAGGGAAAGGTCTCACTTAACGTAAAGTCCGACCTTTACTAACAAATCTGTAGGCCTTGGACATGATTACCTGCTATCACCTGACAGGTCAGGGCTCTGTTAGGGTACAGTTAGGAATTTGTGATCAGAGCACACTATACAGTTACTTTTGGTCACTGAGCTTGTCAGGCCTGCCTTGTGAACCAATGGGCTTTTCAGGCTTATTTTGCAGCCCCCCTTTTTATTTACAGGCCCTAGAGGTAGCAGGAGGGATGGAGCAGGCACAAGGCTGGGATCCAAAAGCACCCGTGGGAACAAGGGATGGAAATCAGGCTCCTTCCCCAGCTCCTTAGGTAAAGCCAGGTTCATATGTGAATTCCCTTTGTTGTCTGGGTCTAAATGTCACACCTGGAGAACAAGAGGAGACCTGAAGCCAGTGTCAGGTGCTTCACCAGGGATGCTGACCAGAGGGTAGGAGATCACCCTGACACTGGGCAGAGGTGGGCTCTTGCCTTCAAGCTGAAAAGCCAGTCAGTCAGGACCCAGTCACTGTGGATTTCATGCCTCCTGACTCCAGCAAGAGGACAGGATCTGGGGTTGCTTCTATCTCAGAGGGGCCAAAGGTCCAGAGTATTATGAATTCAGTTCATAAGAACTGTCCCCTCTGGTGGATGTGCTATTTCATGAGGAGCTCTCTGTCACAAAAGCTTTCAAGAACAGGATCTGGTGATGTCTCTTCTGAGCCTTTTAATAGAGTGTGCCAAACTGGAGGGCTGATCCCCCAAATGACCTGTGTGTCTCCATCAAAGCATTGGGGTGTTGCATCCGTCCCCTGTGTCCCTCTCTGTCATCTGCTCTAGGCCTCCCCACAGGGCCCAATCTGGAGCAGCTCCACATGGAGTGTCAACCACGGGTACTCTGTGGGCTCCTCTTTTAGGGGAGGGAAGGTTCCCATGGGACCCTCAGCTCCTCTGAGATGGAAGCAACCACATATCTTGGATTCTCCTGTCCCATCCTGCTGAGAATGTTCCCTTTGCTCCCAAGGACATCATGGGTGGGTTCAGATGTTCAGGGAATACAGGCAGGTGTCCCATAAACCAGGGAGCTTGGCTTAGGAGTCATTCCCTGAATCCTTTGAGGTCAGGGTGAGCTCTCTTTTCCCGTGGTAATACCTTTACTTGGGGTGGAATATCCAGAGTGTCTGACAGGTCAGGGATCTGTGAGAAGACAAAGAATGCAGGCTACTGTCCAGACCACAAGAACATGAAACATCACTCACAAGGTAGACATGGGGAGGGCTTTGATTTTCTGGGAATGAAGAAAGGTCTGACTCTGTTAGTTGGTTCTGTCTCCCACCCCCCTCTCCTGATTATATGAGGGAGGAGAACCCATCCCTGGGTCATCCCCAACACTTGTGGCTCCTCCAATGCTGACACCAATGTCTTCATGTCTATGAGAGACATAGTTTGACCACTAGTGTCACACAGGTGATAAATTTCCATTGAATTGTTTCCCTCTTCCATTTAATGAGTCTTTTTTTTCTTTTAATTTCTTTATTGATTAAGGTGTCACATATTTGTCCTCTTCCCCCTTTTCCCATCCCCCACTCCTTCCCATGCATGCCCCCACCCCCCTGTTGTCTTTGACCACTGGTTAGGCTCATATGTATGAACACAAGTCCTTTGGTTGATCTCTCTCCTTTATTCCCACCCTCCCCTACACTCCCTCTGAGGTCCAACAGTCTGATCCATGCTTTCTTGTCTCTGGGTCTATTCTTATCATCCAGTCTATGCTGTTCATCATTTCCCCTAGATGAGTGAAATCATGTCCTACTGGAATATACTTATAAGAACCAAAAATGAGACAAGCAATAATAGTTATGCTGAAATGCAAATTAATCAGTCTGTAGTGAGTTTCTTTTGGGGCCAACAGCTCTTTTGAGACCCAATTTCAATGTCAAATAGTTCCTTATGTATATATGTCAGCAATGATATTTCATTTCTGGATGGTGGACAAATTGTGGTAATGCAGGTCCAACCCTCTCTGGTTTGGTCCTGGGCAATGTGCAGTGATGCACAGCTGCTGACTGCTAGTATGGCAAGGCGACGTCAGCATCTTCTATCTCTGGACTGCTTCTCTTCTGTCTTCATGGTTGGAGTAGTCCTGTCAATTCCTCTCTGTTGCCGGAATCCACATGGTCTCAGAGTTGTTTTCTGAAAATATACAAACATATACTAGACCAAAAGTTATTAAAGGAATATTTTCTATAAATTTGACTTGGGATCCTTTTTCATTTTTTGCCCAAATGATTTTCCTCTGGCTTGTTTTGACACCATGTGTGTTTTTCATGGGTGTCTTATTGTTAGCATTACAATTAATTTTCTAAAATATAAATTTTCTATATTTAATTTACCTAAAACATAATTACTCACCATAACTCACTTTTAATTAGAATGTTGTAATTTCAGGCCA